GGGCAAGGCCGGCGGCGGCGGCTCTGCGGGCAGCGGCGCTCGCTGCCCGCCGGACGGCCCGAAGGGCGCGCCCAAGCGGCCGGCCCCCGCCGACTCCGGCTCCGCCGCAAAGCGTCCCCGCCCAGAGGCGGGCAAAGAGCGGGGCAAGGGGCCGACCCGCGCCGCCGGGGGAGCAAAGGCAGGCAAAAAGGGCAAGGCGCCCCCCGCCAGCCGGATGGAGCGGCTGGCGGCCTTCTCCGCCGCCCTCAAGATGTGACAAGGAGGAGTGGACGGCTCTGAGGCGACACTACGTTATCTGCACGCTCGAGCGCCGAGGGGTGGTGACGGGTGTGCGGATATGGTATATGTGTGGGTTCGAATCGTGGCAGAATTCATGTGCCGAAACGTGACTCCGTGAAATGGCGTCCCCGACGAAATAAACGAAGTTTGCGTCACGTGTTTCGAAACACCAAAAGAGTATATCACAAGATGGAAAACGCACACACGACAGCAGGAGAAAGCATCGCACTCACCTCGCGCGCGACGGCCGCAAGCTGCGCGCACGGCTCGGCCCGTTCACGCACGGACTCACACTAATAGCCGACAAGCCTGCCCGTAGAAGGGTCCCATGCTGATCCGTCCGGTGACACGTAAACCCACATGCGGTCGCACGGGAAGCACGGCACCAGGAGCGCGAGCGGTGGCGCGAGCAGGCACATAAGGAAGCAGCACAGGAGCGAGTTGCCGCCGAAGAAGGCAGCCTCGGCGTAGCGCCCGCCCGGCGGAGCCCCCGGTGGCGGGAGTGCTGGATTGGCGGCGCCCATTTCTGCCTCAAAGATGTGCGCGATTCTCCGCGGCTCGACGGGGCGGCCCTCGATGGGATGCGCGACAGCGACGGGGACGTTGGAGGATCCGGTGGTGCAACCCTGGGCCGGGGCGGTGGGGGCGCCGATCGGGATGCCCTCTGCGATCACGACCTCCGGAGGTGAACTCATTCTTGTGATGGAGAGGGATGCCAAAGGGGCAGCAAGTCGCTGTTCGGCGAGCTCTGGATTTTCTGTGACT